TTCCTTTCCTTTCCTTTCCTTTCCTTTCCTTTCCTTTCCTTTCCTTTCCTTTCCTTTCCTTTCCTTTCCTTTCCTTTCCTTTCCTTTCCTTTCCTGGAAGAAAGCAGTGCTGCAGATGGGGCAGCTACGGGACAGATGCTCATGCAACATCTGCATTCTCCCTTTTTTTGGGGGGGATGCACAGAGGGGCTGACAGCTCCTCGTCAGGAGGCAGCATCCCACCTGTGGGAGGGAGCAGGTGCTGCTGTTTCAGGAAAGCACCAGAAATTGCAGTGGCTTCTCACACCTGCAAGGCCTGGACAAAAATCACAGGCAGATCCCAGCTTCCTGGCTTGGAGAGGAGGGAGATCCAGGTTGTAACTCAGCTGTTACACTGGGAAGTTCTGGGTGTGGAGCTGCTCCTTCCACCCCAACCCCAATGGAGGTCMTCAAATCCGGACCTGTTGGAGAAGCTCCCAGGGGTTCTTGCCCCTATCCTGGGGGGATGCTGTCTCTGCAAAGCTGGGATGCTGCTATCCCTGGAAGCACATCCCCATGCCTGGCTGTGCAAGCACCAAGGAAGCTGCTGGCTGCTGGGGTGCTTCCCGGCGAGTGCTTGGAGCAGAGCCAGGAATTATTGCTGCTGGCTCATTATTAAACCGCAGCTCCTGAGGCTGAGCTGGGAGATCAGTTCCTAATGTTGTTTCACGTCGGCTTTGCCCTGCAAGCCGCGACATGCGGCGCTCACCACGAGACACCAGCCAGCTCCGCAGGCTGGTGGGTGCCCCGGGAAGCAGCCACGATGGGCTCCTTTCTGCTTCTTTCCTAAGAAGAGGATTTTTCTGCACCACTTATACAAGACTTGCTCAAAAGGCAAGCGAAACCCCTTTGCGATTAATTTTTGCAGACAAGAGGCCGCTTGTGAGCTCCTGATCTCTCGGCCAGCGCTGCGTTTACCGGGTTGTTGTTTCACCGCTCGGAGCGCGCAAGCGGCGCCGGCTGCCAGGGCTCGCCTGCGCGTGCCTCATTTCTTTGCAAAATGAGACCCTTTAGGGGAAAGGTTCTCCTCGCAGCTCCACGTGCCCACGTCTTGCATATGCAGGGGCAGGGTGCTCCTCTGCTCCGCGCGGCGCTGGGCTGCACCGGGGTTGTGGGTGCTGCTGCAAAGCCCTCCCGCCGCCGCTCTGATCCCTCTGCAGAGGCACTGAGAGGTTGTCTAGGGCCTCTCCTGCCTGTTTATTCCCACTGGTGAAAAATTATGAGTTTTAAGTACAGTTTGAGAAGTGGAATCATTTGAGGCAGGGGGTTGCWTTTGCAGGGCGTTGCGCAGTGCATGGAGGTGTCCCGGGACACTGTCTGCCTGTCCAGTATCTGCAGTGTTTGCAATGCGGAAGGAAGCAGACGGATATTCCTGGGAATAGGAGCATGTGGAACTAAACAAGTACAGGGCACCGGGAGCTCCAACGGGGGCTGCAGAGCCAGGAGCACCCCAGGACGAGCCCAGCACCCCAGGGTGCTCCCGCTCCTTAGACTCATCCATACAACAAGGCTAATACCCCCTGGAATTTGCAATTCCCGAGGGTTTGGAGCTACATCCTATGGAGGGGGAGTGATGCTGGCCAGGTTGTGGGGCACTGTGTGCTGCCTTTGCACAAGCAGGTTAGAAAATCTGCCTCCGCATGAGCATGCTGGTTTTTGTTCTCCTTTTCAGTTTAGTTCTGCAAACAATTTTTGCCTTCTCTACTGGGGCAACTCTCCCTTGTCCTAAGACTTTGCAAAATTTCTCATACACCAACTATTTAGGCACTTCTGTTTTACTGGAGCCTTTCTCTGTGTGTCTCCTAGCCTAGAAGYTGCCTGATTTAAAAGGGAAGGAAGTGCAAGCAGAGCATCGGCACAGCCCGGAACATGAGCATGGAGAGCTTTGCAGAGTTCCTGAATAAGCTCAAGGAAATCCATGAGAAGGAGGTCCAAGGTAAGGGACATGAGAAGCAAGGTCATAAGGTTCATGGAAATGGAAAGGATCATGGCTCCTTGATGTCCTTGATCCATCAGGAGGAGACTGAGGTTCATGGAGAAAATCAGCACTTTTTGAGGCTATAAAGAGGAAAGGAGGAAAAAGCCCATTTTTTATGTCTGATTTTATGGTTCCCAGGGAGACCCASTGACCATGGGGATTGCTCTGGGTTAATCACTGTGGATTTGACCCTTTCCTGCCCTGCTGTCTCATTCCATGATAAATCCGAACTCCCAAGTGCTGCTATTACCTGAGCTCACCCAGCGCCCTGGGAATGTCCCCAGGGATCACGGCTGCACCTGGGATGTACCCTGGGGCCGAGGCCACGGGGCCTTGGATGATTATTTAGAGACTGAACGTGGGGAAGTGGGAAGCTGCACTAACCTGCAAGGCAGAAGGAGCAGGGCTGCAAGGCTCTGCTGAAGTAAACTGTAGAATAAGGATGGATAGTTCAGTCTCCGAGGGAGTTGCCAAATCATACATTACTAAAATCAGAACCATTAAGCTAAGCAAAYAAATGCCAAATCCAATTGTTTTCCTATTAGAATAATTCCCAGTATTAATATTATGAGCACAACAGCAGCGCTTTCACTGCATTCGGGCTTATGAATTCATTCTTGTCTTGTGTAATTTTAGGCCATGGGAGAGCACAGAGGAAGCTGTTGAGCAATTTAAAGCGCATGCTTGCAGCTATTTTGCATAAAACAGAGCTGACASAACCTAATGTCTGCAGATCCATCAGTGAAAGCAGTTCTTGTTGAGCTGTAAATATTCTCTGGGATGCTCTGCAGTCCCAAGAATTATAAAATACTGCCCATCTGGGAAATGCGTGGTGTAAGTAGAAATAATACAGAACAGACTGTGGGGGTGGAGTGTAAACTCATTAAATCAGGAAAATACAAAATGTCCTCACATTTGGTACAACTTTTCCAGTCCTGTTAAGCTTCTGTCATTTAACAAGGGCAAATAAGGAATAGGGCTTGGAAATTGATGCCGCTTACTTGAAATGATGCACCCTCCTGAAGGCGAGCTGCTGCATTTCTGCTTCCAAATCAGCTTGGGATTTGCCAAAAAATGCCCAGTTCTCAGGCTCTGTTCCTCATTCCAGGTCTGCAAACGAAGCTGACGGAGCTGACGACAGAGAAATGCCGGTGAGTGACATGGACTCCGTTCTCCGCTTCTGCACCTTGAGGTGCCTGCAAAAGTGCCGCGAGATTTGGGGATCGTTGCTTGCCTTAGCTTGGGCATTGCCATGCACGGACACAGCTTGGGGTGGCGTTTTCCCTAGGACAGTTTGGTTATCCCTAGAACAAGGGATGAGGAGTGACTTCCCACCAAGCCATAAGTGCCCTCACCAATGCCTGYCTCCTCTTCCTCCTCTTCCTCCCCCACATTGCAGCCAGGGCTGAGCAGGGCTTTCCTTGCTCCAATCCTTGCCTGCCAGACAGCATCCCAGCACTCCTGCATCCCGGTATTCCTCCATCCCAGTACTGTAGTCCTCCAGTGCAAGCAGCACAGCAATGAGGAGGAGAAATCCCTCCTGTGAGCAGTGCCTTGACCATAAAGCCACAGGCTCCGGGGGAAATCCAGTAACTCTTTCTTTTTGCCTGCTCTGTGCTGTCTCTTATCAGTGATGCCCAGCGGATTGAAGAGTTGTTTGCAAAAAATCACCAGTTAAGGGAGCAGCAGAAAGTCCTTAAGGAAAATGTGAAAGTGTTAGAAAACAGGTAAGATTTCTTCTTGAAGAAGACACTGTTTGGCAGTGCTGAGTGGCCCCTCCTGCAGGGACAGCTTGATTTTTGGGGGTCTCCCAGCAGTGGGTTGCAGAACAGGAAGGTCTTTTCTCATCACCTGGGGATGCCAGCTCCCATACCAGCAAATGCAAAGGTGTTTCCACAAAACGAGTGGTGTTGGGCTTGGATGTGGGGGGTCAGGGGCTGGGCTGCATGGATGGCAATGTCCCTCCAGCATGGCAGGACATGGGGTGGCTGAGGGTGACATCGGGGTCCCCAGGTCTCAGATAACCCAGGCCTTGGCTCTGCCCTAGGCTGCGCGCGGGTCTCTGCGACAGATGCATGGTGACCCAGGAACTGGCAAAAAAGAAGCAGAATGAGTACGAGACGTCCCATTTCCAGAGCCTGCAGCACATCTTCATCCTCAGTACGTACCGAGGTCTGCTCCCAGCTCCGCTTTARTTCTCTGAGCCTTTTCCCCAGTTAGGGAGGGAGGCGTTTGCCCATGGGCAGGGGAGATGGAAGGAGCTCTGGCAGCAGGGAGGGCTCAGTTGCTTCCTTCTGTTTTTAGCACCCAGCACATTTSGGGGAAGGAAGGAAAGTCAGAGCCTGGTACCAGGGTCTGCTGTGGTCCCCTCTCCCCAGCACAGCACCGCAGCAGCTTGTGGGGAGCCCCAGCAGCACCTTAACCCCTCGCCTCTCTCTGCAGCTAACGAAATGAACCGCCTGAAGGAAGAGAACAAAACTCTCAAGGAAGACCTGAAGAGGCTCCRAAGCCTGGAGTAAGCTCCTCTGGGTTTAATTCCTTACGTGGCGTGTTGGTCTGGCCGGAGGTTTCCCTATATCCGAGCAGGGTTATGGCCCAACCACAGCATCCTCAGAGGTATTCCAGTGTCTAACTCCCACAGGTTGCAGCAGAAGATAAACACCAGAACACTTGTAATGATCCAAATCTCTTCTAACATCTGCTTGCTCCCCTAGTCACCTGCACCCAAGGATTTAATCTGTGGGTTCCTTGGAGCAAGGTATGATTGAAGCAGGATGTAGTGGGATGAGAAAGGCAGGGATGCCCGGGAAAGATGGGGGTGTTTTCTGGTCCTGCATTTCCCATTAGCCCACCCATAGCGGGCTGTCGTGGGAAGCAAAACCAGGCTGTTTGACCACCGCCTTCAGTGCAGGATTTCACAGCTTTTCCATGCCAGCAGCACGAACCAGGATAGACCCCTAGCAAGACCTGACAGCTCTTTGCAAAGTCATGGGGCTCTGCATGTGTGGGGGAACCAGGTATCTGAGTCAGAAGAGCAGGAAAAGGGCTGTGTTTGGTGTGGGAGGAAGAGTTACAAGCAAGGAAAGGAGTGAGCCAAGGTAAAGAGGGAGAAGTGGTTTGCTCCAACAGGTTAGTATCTTTGCAGAGCACTGCCGTGAAAGCCAAGTAACCTGTCACACTAGCCAATATATACAAATCAGCTCATTCCTCAAGGGTTTAAAGTCCAGAGGAATTAGCACCAAGGGATTAGTTTGGAAATGTGTTTTCTTTGGAGATCAGAAAGTCCCATCTGTTTAAAGAGAAACTCTCACTTTTATGTCCCGATGCCTTTGAGGCCGTGGAGCCTCCTAGCCCTAGGTTGCTGAGCTTCTCTGAATTCTGAACACTCCTGCTCCCTTCTTCCCTCTTCTCAATCATTTGTGCCCCTCTCCTTTCAACAGGGACAGGATCAAGCACCCGGGAGTCATCTCCAGGGAAAGCAGCTCCAGCCCCAGCTCTCCCTTGGCTTTGCTGTCCCCCGGGAGCAGGACYCCTGGCAGTGACAAAGCACCGCGGGGAGGTGCAGAAGAGGAGAACCGTGATGTGCACCATGATGTGTCTGGCCTCGAGACAGGAGAAGGTGAGAGCAGAGCGGGGGCAGACACCAAGTTTTTGGTCTCTGCCAYGTAGACCAAGCCATGTAGACATGGCTGTATTCAGACAAGCAGCTGTGGGGGAAATTGCCTGTTAAGGGATAAACACATTGCTCTGTTTTAGAGCAAAGAGCCCTTGGAGATGCCTGGGTGTCCCTACTGTGAGAAAAATGTAACACAAGTGTGGAACCACTGCCCTTTTGGTGCAAAAACTATGTGTTTGCCTTCCCCCTGCCCTGTGCAACATAGGGTACGTTAATTCTGGTGCTGGCTCGAGTCCAGCGAAATCTTGGCCCAAATTTGGCAAGCAATCTTCCCTAGGAGATGTTCGGTGCCTGCCAGGGTGTGCAGGGTTTCCAGGCTGCTGTCATTAGCAGCTATGAGACCCTGGCACGTGGGAGAGGAACGTGGGGCAGCCGTGGGGCCGTCACAGTCACTGCTTGTGTCTTTGTCTGCAGAAAAGTCTACAGGACCACGAAACTCGCCAAGCTGCAGGACTTCCCCGAGCACTGTCCTCCCAGAACCCAGCCTAGCAGAACTGGTGAGAGCTGCCAGTGCTTGCCTAATGTTTTCAGGCCTCTTCTCCATTGCTTTGGTCACCTTTGCCAGATCAAAGTGGGTGGAACTGGGTAGTGAATGACCAAGAGGCACCCAGAGGGTGAAAGAATTGGGCAATATGTCCTTGCCAGAGCCAAGGAGAGAACCTATCAACTGCCAGGTTCAACCTTGGCAGAAATTGCCACTAGCTACAAGAAAAACATATTGAGTTTGGTACGGACCTCCTGTCTCCAGCTGTGAGAGTCCAAATCTTCAGGCTATTTCCATATTTATACTTCATGATAGGTCCACAACCTGTCTAGTACCCTAGTACCTAGTACCTCTGTCCATCACGTTGGTTCTCCACTTGGAGGTTTCTTAAGGAACTCTCAGAAGTGACAAACCCCAGAAGGTCACACGGGCCCACGTTTTGGTACTGGAGCACTGTAAATAACAGAAAAACCTGGAAAATGCAAAAAGCGTGGGTGCTTTTGAGTGCAGAATACAAATACACCACTGTAACCCTGCCCATAAGCATCTCAGAGGTTTCTCCACCCGCAGCACAGTGGATATCGGGATGCTCATGTGGTCATAGCACTGTGTGTATTGCCGGCGAGTCTGGCACTCAAGGATACCATTTTTTGCACCGACACAAAGCTGCCCTGCCTTTGAAACACAGGGTATGAGGGATGCAGAGTGATTTGGAGAGACTGGGCCCTGAGGCTTCCAGACCTGGAGCAGCATTCCCAGCCGTGGGAAATAGAGCCACATCCATACCTACATGCATGGTTCCATTCTGGCACCGGATTCACTTACCCGAATCCACGGAAAACCTGAAAGAGCAGGTGAAAAGGACTCTTGGTGAGGCTGCAGGCTGGCTGTGAGGATAACTAATGGGGATCACAGTGAAGGCTGGTTACATCTGCTAATAAGCAGGGAAAAGTCAAGTCAGGACTTGTTCTGAGCCTTGCATGACAATAGATAAAGATCATGATGTTCTGCCCTCACACCTTGGGCCTCCACTGGAATTATACTCATTAAAGAAAGGTATGGTAGGAGCTCACACGAGTAAAGCTTAGTGGCCTGAAAAGGCAGGGTCTTGCCTTGCACAAGTTCCTAAATCATGTCGTGATCAGAGAAGACTTGTGGACCTCCTGGGGTATATATTGGAGCAACCAGAAATGAATAATCATGTAGATGCCACTGAAAAATATAAAGGGGAACTTTTCTGAGAAGCCAAATACAAATATCATTTAACCTTTGGTTGGAATTCAATCAAATTACTACCTATCATTCATGGGGTAAAAATGATAAAAAGATGCTGTGTAGTCTTTCCTACCGAGCACTTAGGAGCTGTACTCCCTGTTGGCACCAGTGAGGAGCCCTGTCCCTGCTCGTGATGTTCTCRGTATTGCTTTGAGAACCACTTGGACCAAGGAGGACAGTGGACAGGCTCACGTGGACTTTTTCCCCCTGCCATAGGCATCCCAGAGGATCTCCAACCAGTTGCACGGAACCATCGCCTTGGTGAGACCCGGCCTGAGACCATGTCTGCTGGAAAGAAGTCCAAGAAGTCCCCCAGGAGCTGCACTGTCCCCATCCGCGAGGAAGACTCCTCTCCCAGCGGAGCGCGAGCACAGCCCTGGCCTCGAGGCGTGAGTTACCTGTCGCAGCTCTCCGTGCGCTTGCATTGATCTGACCTGCCAACAGCCACTGTCATCTTCCTCATTACACGTGGGGGGTTTCTTTCCCCATCACTAGCTAGATCTTGTCCCCATCAGCCCGTGGCCACTCTCACTCATCGCAATGAATAATGAAGGTTAGGTGGAAATACTGGATCTGGCGAGGCAGGCTGGAAAGGTCACTGGGTAGACTGTGATGAGATGGCYGATTCTTGCTGTGACCACCCACCTTCTCCAGACTTTTTGTACTGCCCACAGCCCTGGGGATGGGGGGACGGCTCTCSCAGTTTACACCAGCAAAAACGACTGGAATCCAGCCCTACGGGAACCATCTCTAGTTATTTCAGCTGCATCAGGTAGAACTGGAAAGCGAACCAGCTGCCCCGATCTCCAGCCCACAGAAGAGCCAGGAGATGACTTAAGCGGCAGGCAGCAATCCCTGCTGCTCCTTATCTATTCTAATGGGCTCTTCTGTGGGGCTCAGCACTTTCCAGGGCTTCTCCTTCCCAGTGATTTCAGAAGCAGGGAGCAAAGCAAAGCCAGCCAGTCCACCTGTAGAGACAGCAAGTTTCCCRGACTGGGAGTAGCTCTGCAGTCCCGGCGCTCATGCCCGTGGGAGCTGCCAAAGAGGAAGCAAGAGCAGTGACCGGGTTGGCATGGGCAGGTTCACTCCCTGCGCTGGCCTTGACATCAGGGGAGGACAAATTGGTCACCAAAGGGTTGACTCTGTTCTGGAKGTCTTCAGGGGCCACCAAGAGCATCACCTGCAGAAGCTGGGCAGTTAAATGAAAGCTCTTTAATGTTTTTTTCTTTTTTTTTTGGTGTTCCTTTTAGTTATGCAGCCAGCAACCCGGACTCCCCCAAGCTTGYTCCATCCTACGAACACCTAAAGCTGACGGCCAGGACGGAGCAGCTCTGCCTCCTCAACAAGCGCTTTCCCCTGCACCAGCTGGGGCTGGCACGGAGCTGTAGCCCGTCCGACGGCGACGGCAGCTTCTCCAGGCGTCTCCTGGGGGCCAAGGAGGCCGGGGGCTGCAGCCGGAGGCCGCAYGACGGCTGGGAGGAGCGCGCGGCCCTGCTCAAGTTCCCCGCCGCCGCCGTGCTCTACGTGCAGGACCGGCCCCGCGAGGGGCAGCTCGGCTCGCCGCAGCCCCGCGAGCGGCTCCCGCGCGGCCACCGCGCCAGCGAGGACGACGACACCGGCCCCGCGGGGCGCTGCCCGTGGCGGAGCGCGGCGCCGGGCTGCCGAGAGCAGAGCTCCTTCCCGGAGGACGCTGCGGATGGGAAGGCCGAGGCAGAGCTTTGGCTGAGCCGGGAGGGCTCCGAGCGGCGCGGGAGGGCGGAGGCGGCGCGGGACGACGGCGCGGACATGCCGCTGGATCTGTCCGACTCTGGCCGCGGCAGGGACGCGGCGGGGGCTCTGCGGGGGCGGCCGAGCCYCGCGCTGAGCCCGGCGGCCCGGGGGTCCCACGTGCGGCACCGCRCAGGGTGGGATGACTTGTGCCTCACCTACCGCCGCCTCCAAGCCGCCCGAGCCCAGCCCGGCGGCGTCAAGGAGGAGGAAGAGGAGGAGGAGGAGGAAGCTGAGGTGAGTGCAGCCTGCACTGGCATCAGCTCCATCCCCTACCYCTCTCCACAGCATCTGGTGTCAGYCCCAGCACAGTTGCAGTGACCATTAATCCTTCTTGAAAAGGTCCACGAGCGAGCGGCTTTGCCTCACGTGAAGCCATGGCAGATATATTTGCTCATGACAAAAGTCACAGGCACAGTCTTTGCTTTTTGCTAMGGTGAAGAACAGCTTGGAAACCACCTTCCCCACTAGTGTCCAAAAGGTTTTTCTTGCAGGTTAGAGTAGCAGTGCCCACGGAGCACCCTGAGCTCTGCTGCAGCGGGTCCTGGCCACCTCCGACTGCCCCTGTTGGGTCACGGCCACCTCCAGCTGCCCCTGCTGTGCCCGTCCCTGCAGCGCTCAGGGGTGGCACTGGCCTCTCCTGCCTGGCAGGCCACGTTTCTAGGAGCTAAGGCCACGGCAAGAGCTTACAGGGCTGCTGCCCTCTGTGTCTTTCAGCTCTCCTTCGCATGGGTGGCCCCTACAAGCAAGATGACATCAAGTGACACCGAGGCCCTTGCGGAGAGCAGGATGAGGCTGTCCCTGAATGCACAGAAGGAAGAAGCAGGTAAAAAAGCCTCAGGGAAATGCCACATTTGAGAGGGCAAGAGCAAAAGATGCATTTTGGGTTGTGTCATGAAGATGCATTTTGGGTTGTGTCAAGGTGACCCATAGGAGGAAACTCTGTGCTGGACTCTGCAAACACCTGTAATTCCTACAGCCCAAAGGAATGGCTAAATAGCAAGGAACCCCTTCCAGGTGCACCGGCCCCCAGCATTTTTGGCACCATCCCGGCTCACCTTGCAAGCCCGACAGAGCAGCCTGCACCCTCTGCTCACCCACGGGATAGGCAGAGGCTTCAGGAGCCCAAAAGCTTGACATTTGCAGGATGGCACAGAGAAGAACCATCCATCCCGTCCCCTTTTCTTCAAAGTGTGCCCGAGCTTGCACGGAGGCAAGGTTGAGCACGGAGCGAGGGATGCTCCTGCCTCCAAGGAGTAGGAAGCCACAGGCTCCTCCATTCTCCCTGCTCCATCCATGGTTAAAACCTGTTCCTATCCCAAAGCAAAGAGCTGGGGACACACAGGGCTTCCCGAGTGGGACACGCGTAGGAGGTGGGTGTCCCCCGACCATGCCAGGCTGTAGCCATGAGCAGTGCAGGGAGAAGCACGTCCCCGAGAGCAGCTCCCTACCCTACCAGCCTTACTGGCTTGGCCAGAAAGTTGAGCTCGCCCGGATTAGTTGGTCTGGGTGTGTCGGAGTGGTTTGGGAACACTCTCCAGAGCAGGATTTTGCACGGTGGAGGGGGGGGGTGGAAAAAAAGTGGAGGGGAGTCCTCTGTGATTTACATGTTAAGGAGATATCATCATGGCACAAGAATTTAAACCGATTACATTCTGGGTGTGGGAAAATACAGGACTTTCTTCAGTTCTCACTTGGTTGACACAAAGCCCGGGAAACAATACCCCAACAGTTCTCACTTTCCAGTGAACCTTAACCCCAGCGGGACAAAGCGAGGGCAGGAGCGGGTTCTGCGGGGCCCGTGAGGCTCCAAAACACAGAGGAGGGCTCAAAGCGAGGGCTATTTTTAGAGGGAGGAGGCTCTGCTGTGAGTGTCCCGTGTGCTCAGGCCTGGGACAGCGGGACCCTCAGTGCGGTGGCCCGAGGCAGCAGCGCTGCGGGAGGGCCCAGCACCTCCTGATATGTCTGCGTGTGGAGCAGCAGGGTGAAGAGAGCACCCTGAGCTCCGCTGCAGTGGGTCCCATGCCACCTTGGGACTTCCAGGTGTCCCAATGCAGATGCCTGGTGTCAAAGGCCTGGATTGCAGTATCGCCCATCAGGCTCCGCACCTGCCACAAAACCCTCTTGCTTTTGCATTTCCCTAGATGATGATGCCACCGACTCTGGGAAGCAGGACTCGGAGGAGCCCGACACGACGGACAGCGAGGTTGGTTGGCTCTGCTCAGCCCCAAGGCTTCGAGTGCCTCTGGTCTGGCAATGCTTTGGGTCAGGGACCCTTGTGCTGGGAGGCAATGGGAGATGTAGGAGGGACTCGCTAGTGACAGCGGTGACGGCTCTTCCTACACAAGACACCAACCCCCTTTCCAACCACCTATTTCCAGACTGACTGCTCTTCTCTTTGGTGTAGGTCGCTGTCCCCTATGAACACAACATCCCCCAAGAAGCCCAAGCTGAAGGGAAACATTCCAGTGMCAAAGACAGAGCTCCTGCGCTGCTGAAGAAGAGAAAAAGAGCACAGGATGCCCGGACAAAAGGTAGGAAGGAGAAGCTCCTTTTGGGATCACCTCTTTCCTGGCAGAGCTCCGGACACCTACAAGAATGGGTCTGAGTCCTCATGTTTGCCCAGCCACCCCACGGAGGTGCAGGTTGCAGAAAGCCAAATTCCCAGCAAGGATTTATTGACACACGGAGAAAAGTTTCTTGCCAAAAAAGTTTCTCTATTGATTTTATTTATTTTTTTCCCCGAGAGCGGCTGTAGAGGTTTTCAATGGGACATGTTGTACCCTGGTTTCCTACAGGTGAATAAGCAGAAAGTTGTTCCCGATAAGGGCCAGGATAAAACAAGGTGCCTGCCAAGCCTGAAATACGGCCCTGTCAGAAACATCCTGCGGTGGCAGTCGGCAAAGAAAGGGCGGTGTTGAGCTGCGGGAAGGACAGAGAGGGCTCTTGCTTAGGCATCAAAGGGAGCTTGTTTAACGAGGCAGCTGCCCCTGCCCTCGTCCTGGAGACGTGGCTGCAGAAGCAGAGCGCTGCTCACACCATGCACCTCACTGCAATGCTCTGAAAGGGGGAGAAATCCCCCCAAAATGCATCCTGGTGATCTGGGAATGCTCTGAACAGGGGAGAAATTCTCCCCGAAAAACACATCCTATGTGAATGGGATGTGGGAACCTGTCCAAGTAGGTTTCTCTGTCTGCTTCTCCTTTATGGGGTGGTTTTTACCTTAATACCTCCCCATCACAACGTGAGAGTGTTTCTCTTCATCTCCCCTTTGCTGAGCTTGCTTCCTCCCACGCATTCCTCATTTTTGGGACTTGGCCATACAGTCCCTGTGCACCCACATCCGTGGCTAACACCTGTGCTCATCTCCCTCTTAACAGYATCAAAGAAGCCGCACAGAGGAAGAAAGAAAGTGAAAATCGAGGAGAGCTCGGCGGGGGCACCAGTGCCCCCCAAGAGCCCGGAGAGCCGCTCCGCTTCCCCCTGCGCCAACCCCGAGGACACTTAACGGCAGGAGGGGCCCAGACACCCGSAGTGAGCACGGAGAGGGCTGCAGGGCTCCATACGGACCCACAGCGGGACACGTGAGGGCTTGGCACAGGGCAGAGCACCCTGGAAAGGCACCCGGGCGCTCCTGGAAGAGGTGGATGGACGGATGGGGGTGCCTTGGGGTAGCTGCTGGAGCCAAGTGGGCTCCCATGCACATGCAAGGATGAGGAGGCTCCCAGCTGTGCAGCACAGACACAGACCACTTCCTTCCATGGGATTTTGTGCCAAGCAAGGGCCTCTCCCCTGCCTGCAGCTGGCATCCATGTGCCTGGGCAGGGCACAAAAGGGACGTGGACACGCACAGGTCCTGCTCTGCCCACGCACGAAGCTCCAGCCATTAAAGCCCTGCACAGGGTCGCATCCCTGCTCAGGATTCGTATCCGTGTTCGGGATTCGTATCCCCGTGGCCCCTTGTTGGAAGGCCGGCACTTCTGCTCCCGGCTTTTCCACTCCAGTGCAGTGTGTGGTTCAAACGCAGGGGCAGGAGGGAGCCTGAGAGGGGGAGATGGGGCCGGGGGGAGGCTGAGGTACAGGTTTGTTGGGGGGGTTAATCACACAACGCCCCGTASGACAGCGGAAACCCGCGCGCTCCACCGCGGCGGGCGCGGGAACAGGGGACGGGGCCTCGGCGCGCGGGAACAGGGGGCGGGGCTTCAGCGCGCGGGAAAAGGGGGCGGGGTGTGGCGGGGCGCGCGGGCGGCAGCGCCATCTGGCGGGAAGGGGCCGCGGCGCGGGAGCGGTCGCGCGTGTTGGTGTCTGCGCGTGTCAGTGCGGGCCGGGGTTTCCTCGTCCCCTCCGGATCCCATGGGCGCTTCGCAACCCGGCCGCTATCGTGGGGGGCAGCACGCGGAGCCATCAATGGCCCTGTGGGCTCCTGGGTCCCTAACCCTCTGTGGGGGTCTGTGACCCCCTCCGTGGGGTGCATCATCCTCCACGGTATCTGTCACTCTCCATGGGGATCCTCATTCCGCCCAGGCTCARGCTCCATCCACACTTGCCTCCCGGCTCATCGGAAGGGCAGGSGGGACCACCCTGCTGGGCTCCCCCTTGGGAAACAGCCCCTGGAGCAGGGAGCAGCACGGAGCTTGATCCCGGAGCCCCAGCTGCAGGAAGAGCAGCTGGGCACCGCAAGCAACAGCGGCTCTGCTGATTGATCCCAGCTTAAGCACTCATCGGATCACTGCACCTGGAAACTCAYGGCCTGGAAGCTGCACCTGGGCCCCTGGATCCCTGATGCCTTTTGGGTCCTGGCCGCCCRGCACCGCATCCGTCCCTTGCTCCCGCTGGCTTGCGGGGCACCAACGTCCGGAGCAGCAGGGAACAGCGGCGCAGTGAGTCTGCCTGGTAGAAGGATTCCATGGAGAGGGGAACATGCGGCTCTAGTCCTGCAGAGCGGCCCCTCGGCCTGCAGGGAGGCAGCCTGAGAGCACAGGAATTTAAGGAGGGAAGGAACTTTTATGCAAATATAACATAATCTTCCCCTACAATGATTTGGTAAGCAAAACGTGCAAAACTCCTGCCAACAATAACATTTTTTTTTTCTACAAAGACCTTTTTTTCTTTTTATTGCAAAAGAGTACCGCAAAATTCACCTTCCTTTATTTTATTTTATTTTTTTTTTTATCATCTTTTATGTTGTTCTTTGCCTTGTTCCAACAGGCACCATCAGCCAAATGTGCTGATATCTCCGTGCAGGAGGTGTTGGAGGGGCTGGCCGGGACACATATTTCAGAATTAGGACTATCCCATAACTGTAAAAACAAACAATAGTTTTATAAGATCTGGGCAAAGTGCTTTTCTGAACAGGCTGCTGAAGTGAAATACAGGTTTATACACTGCACTTTATCCAGCCCCATAAAGTCTGCTCATGTACAGCCCTTGGGATGTTGTATGGCTGTCCCTGTGCTCTGTGTTAGCTGCAGAAACGTGGATAATTGGTGAAGCCCTTTAATTCTTGCACTTATTCCAGGCAATCTCATATTAATGTAATTCTTGACAGGCAAATGCACGTAGTGATTTAATGGTGTTACTGGTGCAAACTGGTGATCGGAGGTTTGCACGGACTCTCCGAGCTCCACGGAGGTCTCCACGTGCTGGTTTGGTTCTGCTCTGCTCATGGAAGCACGTTGGCAGAAACCCAGTGGGCGAAGTCTAGTCTGATGAGTTAATCCTGCTTCACTAAGGAGCGCAGCAGCCTTTTAATAACTTTGGTGGAATTTCRCTAATGACTTAGAAGGGCATCCGTGTACAAGGTCAAGTGAGCTACATGCTTGGGAGAGGGAAACATGTGTTGTTGCTGCATTTCTGTTCAGCAGAAAGACTTTTACACGATGATCTTCCCCCAAAAGCTGCTAAATCACCCTTAATGTTGTGTGTAAGTCTGTAGAAGCGGAATAGAAGTTGTCCCATATATGGATCAGTCCTCCTGCAAGGCTGGCAGCTCTTGTTTGTTTTGTTTAGGCAAATTATAGCTCTGATGTCGTCAGGAAAGAAATGCAGGATGACTGGGAGGATGAACTGGTTTCCCAGAGGAATCAGTCCAGGGCACAGCTTGGTGGCTGTCAGCTCAGGGACTGGATCTGAAATCCCACAAGCTGGAAGGAGCAACTGTGCAGGTAGCTAGGGACCTGCTTTCTTTTATTCCATCCAAAATAGCAATGGCTCCTGCATCATCAGGCAAAGCGTACCAAAAAGAGCCTCATCCTAAGTCCTGGCTTACTGATCCTTAAGTATTTTCATCCATCAAATCGTTCTTACAGCACATATTGTTCTCAGCTTGCAAACCTTGCCAATCTGTACCAATGCCCTCAGTCTTTATTCTGCAAGAGACTCCCATTACACTCAGCAGAAAACTGTTCCCAGCTACTCTCTAAACTTTATCTGTAATCTTTTGTAAGAAGTAAATTTGTGCAAATTTAGGCATTGATAGAAATCTCTGTCCTGGAAAAGGAAACCTGCCACCACACAAAGGTTGCAGCATGGCCCTTACCACCGAGATGCTGCAGCAGGAAAGCAGGAAGCCGAGGTTTCTAAAAGCAGCAGGGATCCGTGCGGATGTCCCGGCTCATGAGAGGCAGGAACCAAAGCAGCAGAAATAGAGAAGTATCAGATTCTCCTCCTTCCCTTACAGCCTTCTGCGAGGGTTATTCCCTCTCCAGCTGTAAATACGATACAGATTGTATGTTTATGAGTGCTAGTCTAGCCAGCTGATTTTAACCTTCTCACTGCTGAAAGCTTCGTGGTRATTTGAAGGAATTATTGCTGTGCTCAGGGAAGCTTTCTATAGCATCAGGTGTTTAAGCGAGCCCTGTTGCATTCCCCTCGTGTCGCAACCCATGCCCTTTGCACGAGGCCGATCACCACCCTGCCTGCAGTGAGCGATCTGATTAGTTCAATGAGTTTAAGTGAGATCTGATCAGTAAGTAATGCCATTTATAGTGGCATTTATAGACGGGTTTGGAAATGCAGCTTCGCTCATCAGTTCAGGGCAGAAAAGCTCATTCCAGGCATTACTGAGGTCTTGCGTCAGCCCTATTTGGGGGATTTAAGTCAGATGGATGTTTTTTGTAGGTCCTTCCCAAGGGCAGAGGCACCTGCATGTGTGAGGACAGCGACACGTCTAGGCAGCCTAAACATGCAGGGGCTGTGGGACATTTGACAGGGAGTACTCAAGTGTGCTCAAGGCAAAGGAAAAGGCAAGATCTTAAACCTTTGAAAGGATTAGAGTTCGACTGGGCGACACTGAGAGATAATGGATGGGTTTAGCAGCTCTGGTGATCAAGTGCAGCATGCAGTGATGGTTCTTGGAAGGAAGGGAATTTAGGAGATCCAAGGATGCTCTATTGTATCTGCAAATTTTCTTGTAGGAATTTTTSAGCCAAAGTGCCTGATCCTTCTGCTTCTCTTGGGCGTCCCGTGAACAGCCATCCACCCTTCCAAAAACCCCAGCTCTGACAGGGCTGCTATATTCTCATCATTGTTCCTTCAGAAGATGTGGGCCTTCTTCGGCAAACACATCCTTATAAGACCATCCCATGCCCGTTATTGGTCTACAGAAATGCCACGTACTGCAGCTTCTTTGCCATGTGGTTCAGAAGAGCTGGTCTAAGTCATTCATTCACAAATCCTCCTGTAAACACCCCATACATTTTTCATGAGGTGAGCACACAGCCCTCCCTGGTGTAAAGAGCTATACAATTAAATCAATCAGACCCATATTTTTAAATACTTAATGTCACGTAGGAAAGCCTGAGTCACTTCCCCAGGCATATAGCAATCAGCACAGTGGTCTGCTGGCAGCATCTTCCTCCTGGGGCTCAGCATGTTCCTGTGCTTTAACTGGGAATGTGCARTGACAGGAGAGGATTACATAACTCTGCACGGATGAACACACATCTACGAGGAATCTGGGCGAAATGTCCATTCTGCGCCAGTAGGCATCAAGAGAAAACACGACTTCCAAGTGGAACTGGCTGTCGTCRTATTAAAAACACTGCACGGTTCATGTGACAGGAGGACAACATCCCGAATCAATCCTGGCCGGCAGGTTTGGGATGCAAGGAGTGCTGCCTCACCTGCGGGAAACCAGAGGATTTTTCCACACCTGCTAAGAGAAATATTTCAAGGGTTTTTTTTTTTACCAAGCTCCAGCATATTTGGGCTTTGGGACAAAAGCAGGATTTTTCTCTCTGTTTTCCTGAGACAGATGGTAAAAAAAAAAAAAAAAAAAAAAAAAAGCTGGCAAGAATGGACACCTGAGTGTGATATATATAGCAATGCTGGACTAGAAAAGGCCTGTTGGTTCATCCACACTTGACTTTGACTGGAAAAACCTGTGCAGGAATTTCTCACACTTCATCTAAATACTAGCAGTTCCTCCAACTGGAACACTGTCCTTCTGATTCCCAGCCTAAATATATTCATGAGCTGTTTATTTTTGCTTGGTTTTGGGCCATGATTTTGCAAAATTTTAGCGCCCAGCCCACATAAGTAGTTTAAATGCTGTCCCATATCAGATGCTTACACCAAATCCTGCTGTTCTTGAATGCAGAAAACTCGCAGTGACTTTGTTAACTATATTCCCTCATCATGTTGGAATAAAGGCTGGTAGGTTTGGCCTTGTCCATAGCAGCTCCTGATTCCAGCAACATTTTGACTGCTCAAACCTGTATCAGTGCAGTCCAGTGCTTCCTGTCCTAAGAGCTTTCAGTCCAGAAACAAAATGAGAAAGCTGGGGCTGGATATTCAAAACGATGTTTTACATTTTTGCCATCATGCCGCTGCAAGCACAGAACTGCCTGCCTTAATATTTATCTTGGAGGGTTTGCAGCGCTTAAGATCCAGGCATCTCTCAGCCCAGAACTTGAAGCTCCTGCGCAGCAACACAGTGACGAGTGAAGCCCTTTGCTAAAATAGCATCCAATGTGCCATGAATGACTAGCACATTCAGTCCAAACAAGCTCCGTCTCCCTCTGTCCCCACAATACAGTGACTCCCTGAGGGAAGGAAAGGGTCAGGGGAGAAGGCAGCTCTGGATGCGTCTATCCCATTACTGTAATTCGTGGGAATGCTGCTGACGTTATGCCCATCTGTTTTAGCAGCAGATTCCTTGAAGCACAGCAATGCGCCTGCTATATTCATGCACTGTGAACTAGTTTGCGTGTCAGATGTAGATGAAAGCTCCCCTGCACCAAAGCGTTACCGGCAGCACCGCTCAAACCTCTGAGCTCAGCTTTGTAGTTAGCAGCCCACTAAGACAGCTCCTTTCTGCTTCATCCTGCGCTGACTCAGTGGGACAATTTACATCCTACAGAAAGAATGAAAAAAAATACCATTTGTTTTTTAATTCAGATCTTAGGTTCTGGGGAACTCTTTAGAAAAAGCACGTGCTAAATTTGTATGCCCATTGATCCCATGACTTATCTCATGAGCTTTCCAGCAAGAAGAGTTTTAATTCTTTTTAATCTTGTTTTTTTTATGTTTTTTTTTCCCTGGGGGTGCAGATTTGAAAATCTACCTGCTCTTTAATGCCCCCATTTCAGACCATATCATTAGACATCAGCTCCATGCATGGTGTTAACTGCAATCAGTTGCAGTCATTCTCACATTACTCCTTTACCAGTGGGGTCCTGGTTGGCAGAAGAAATTACCATTGCCAGAGTCCAGGTTTGCAAATGCACCAGCCCCTGCCCTGCTGAAAATAGTTCACTAGTCCCTCTTCAGTGGTGAATTTGGCTGGGTGTGCTTGTGTCTATGGCAGAACCATGCAAGAAAGGAAGCGTGGTAGGTCTGCAAGGGTTGTTTTTGTCCCTAATGCTCGGACTGATGGGGAGACGTCGGTGCGAATGCTGGCGGGACGTGTTTATGGAGCATGTTTATGGAGCAAACAGCCACACCGAGGAGCAGCGCACGGAGCTTGGCTCACCCTGGGGGACACTGCTGAGTTTCTGCTGTCCCCGGTCCCCACTGTGTCCTCTCCCCATCCGCCTTTTCCATATGCCCTGCCCTGTGCTCTGTCAGCCTTTCCCGGGACATATGGAATTGKGCCTGGTGCCGGGTTTGGGTGCTGCTAGTGAGTGTGAGCATGGGGCATCCAGAACCACCTGGGAGGTGTCCGAGCTGGAAAGGTCATGGGCTGCAGCTTCCCTTCCCCTGGGAAGAGAGAGGCYCCTTCCCAGGATGATAGACCGGGATGGAACGGCCGCCCCTGGGAATGTGAGGCGGCCGGTGCCGCCTGTGTGGGGAAGAGGCAGGTGTTTGTGGGGGGACAGGATGGGTGTTTTGGGGAGGACATGGAGGCTATTTCTGAGGGGAAAGTGGTCAATGTTCGTGACAGGACCATGTTTTTGTGGGCACACAGTGGGTGTGTGGGAACATGGCGGGTGTTCCTGAGGGGATGCGGTGGGTGGTTGTGAGGGCCACCATGGGTGCCCATGAGGGGACATGGTGTGTGGCAGGACACACACGGTGTGTGGGGAAGGGGCTGCCGGCGGGATGTCGCGGGCAGGGGGCCAGAGGAGCGGCCGAGCCCGC